TAAAAGGCTCTGGCCTATCGGTGAAAGCAAAATGATTAAACTCCAGCAAGACAACGCCGGCCCACACGTACCTGTTGCGAAGTCGACATTGTGTCCGCAGGGCATTGTGATGGTTTCAGCATCAATGTCGTTTGCCAGCCTGTCAACTCACCTGATTGCAACGTGCTTGATTTGGGTTTCTTTCGTGCACTACAAAGTCTTCAAGTGAAGTGCGCCGCGAGAACAATCGACGACATCGTGCGGAATGTGCGTGATGCGTGGGATGACGTACAGACGACAATGGAATTTAAGGCTCATCGAAGTTTTGGGCAGTACACAACAATATTTAGCCAATCAATTGAATAGGAAGAAAAACATGAATTCTATTGGTGGAATTACTATTCACGCGCCAAACAAAAAAAGCGCGCGTGACAACCTTCGTGCAGTCAGCAAACAACTCAAAACTTGGAGCCGTGATGGTCATGTAGCGCGTGGAGCCACCCCCATGTACTGTACAAAGAAAGCGGCCAAAGGGCAGCACAGGCACTCGTACACTATAGCACAAAAGCTGAGAGGTATTGCGTTGCTACGTACAATGTCGTACCGTCAGGTGGCCAAAGAACTCTCTGTTCCATGCCGAACTATCCGAAACTGGCAGAGGTTGTCTGTCAAGCTTCTGGCCTATAAAGGCAACAAAGAGGCGTGCAACTTGCAAGGCGCTGGACGGCACACCATGTTGCCCGAATCTGACAAGCTCTTGTCATTCATGGACGCCCGTCGGACTCAAGAGCGAGCTTTGACCTGCGCGCACATGGTCAATTTCCTCAAGAAACACCACCAGCAGTGGTGACACAGTACACTACCAGCCAAAAGCAAGGACGCGGATACGACCACCACTTGAAGCTTCTTCAAGAATTCTGTCGCCGAAACGGATACACTCATCAACAAGCCTGCAGATCCAAGAAGGTTATCAGCGACATCGAAAGCACCCGTGATGAGTTCGCAACTCGCTTTCATAGAGACTATGGTACGTACCCTGACATTTGCGTCTACAATGTGGACGAAACAGGAATCCAGTACGACATGCCACCCCGCTACATCTGGTCTCGCCGTGGAGGCAACGCAAAGCTGCCGTCCGGCGAAAAACACTCGTACAGAATGACTGCGGTCTTGGCCATTCGACGTGATGGAAAGAAGATGCCAATCATGTTCGTCATCAAGGGTTAACCTGGTGCTTTGATCGAACGACGTGAGTTTCCAACGTATCCACAAGACCACTTCTACGCAATGCAATCAAAGACGCGGATGTACAGCTCTGTGTGGCAACAGTACCTCTGGTTTGCGCTCGCTGAAGAATTTAAAGGCCAATCAGTCCTCGTGCTGGACAACTTCGAATGCCACGTCAGCAAGGAGAGTGTTGCGTCAGCGGAAAGCATCGGCATGAATGTGTGCGCGTTGCCCCCAAATGCTACCTCACATTGTCAACCACTGGATGTGTTTATTATGGC